TACACATGGGGCCTCACTGCCAGCAAGGACCTGAGAGGCGGGACCTGATCGTTGGCCTCCGCAATGAGGTCGCTCGTTGTTCGCATGCCTGTCACGACGGGGGGGCAGAAGAGGACGAGCATGACGATGTCGACGATAATGGACACCGTGCGTCACAAAGCACAGGGGGCGAAGCAGAAGGACGAGCAGGAGAGGAAGGATAAGCAACAAAAAGGAGAACCAGTATGAAGAAGAGGGAAGAGGGGGGTGGTTGTGCAGTTCATGTGACTATGTCAGCGTATTGCCATTGCAACAGGACTGGCCAATGGAGCGCTCCAATGGCCAACATACATTGAGTTATGTATGTGTGTGAGTGTGCGCGGTCCAGCGCTTCGCTTCCCAGCGCGGGCGCTCGATCGCCTCAACTCCCCAGACCCCCGACGTCATGATTTTTTCATGACGCGACCCCTCGAGGTCCGGATCCTTTCCCCGGGACCGGTTTTTCATCCCGAGTCGTTTTTTGACGGTCCTGGCGCGGCCCCCATGGGCTGCGCGCTCCCCGCCTTCCGGGCGGCGCCCGTCCTGCCCGCCCGTGCGGGGCTGGCAGGCCCACCCCGACCGCCGCCCTGCCTGCGGGAGCTGCGCCCGGGCCCCTCTCAGCCCTGCCCCCCCCCGCCGCTCCCGCCGCTCCGCCCTGCCGGTCTGCACGGAGTCGCCCAGGCTCCTGCCTCCAGCAGCGGCTCCAGAGGTGCTCCCGGCCGCCCCGCCCCCACCCCGGAGGATGCTTCTGCCAGCTCTGGCGTCGCACCCAGTGCCCGCCCTCTTGGCGGCGGCCCCCCGTACCCGCTCTCGCACCCCCCCCCTCTCGCGCCGTTTCTGCCCTGCCTGCCCTCGCCTCCGACTCTCGTGGTGACGCCAACGGCGCCCAATTGCAGTGGTACTTGCCTGACCAGATCACCGTATACAGTGCCAGGGGAGCAGCTTTGCTGATCGTCTCATCAGCGCTGGATGGCGAATGTGGACGATGGCCCATCCCACAGGCGGGCCTCTGAATCACCGGGACCACTTGCTATGAATCCCTTCTGCCCTAGTTTTGCAATGTTTCTGGCTCTGGAGGCATATTTTTCCAGCTCAGCTGGCCTGTCTGGTTTTCGAGGTGTTTTTTCGTTCTGCAGGCTTGCTGGTTCAGTGTGCGTGTTTCTCTTGCCCTGCAGGCTTTCTGGCTCGGGTCGCTCGTCACTCTAGCTCTGATCCAGGGCGATTGCCCGTACTCTACTCTGCCACGGAGCGCGCAGACTTCCTCGACTCCCTGGCCTCCTCGGCAGTGGCCGGGGGCACTCCGCCTGCGGAGGCTCCTTCGGCCCGCGCTCCCTCCGACGAGGGCGGCCCCCCGGCCAGGAAGCAGCCTGCCTCGCGTCAGGCTCACCAGCACCACTCTCGGGCCGGACGAAAGGGGGGGATTGGGAAAGGGGGGGGTACAAAATTTGCTGCATGCAGCTGGTTTCGGCCCCACCGAGGGGCCCATTCCTCGATACATAGTCGCCTCCGGCGCCGGGAGGCGCCGGGAAAATCAGCTACGTGAGCTGATTCTCAAACCCCCCCTTTGCTATCCCCCCCTTTCGCCCGACCCGACACTCCTTGGAGCGGCGGTAAGCTAGCCGCCTTGGTCCTTTGTGGTGAGCCAACGGCCCCTGCCATCCACGCCCGGATGGCGTTTGGCTGCCGGCGGCTGCAAGATGCAAAGCGGTCTCTGAGGGATCGGGCGCTCTAGTCTCGCGCGCGTTTCCTGCTTTTCGACTTTCTCCGCCCAGTCGCGCAGGGCCGCGACGCCAAAACAAGTGAGTCTCTGTGTGTGTGTGGTGGTGTGTGGTGGTGTGTGGTGGTGTGTGGTGGTGGTGGTGGTGGTGGTGGTGGTGGTGGTGGTGGTGGTGGTGGTGGTGGTGGTGGTGGTGTGTGTGTGTGTGTATGTTTGTTTGTTTGATTGTTTGCGTGTGTGTGTGTGTGTCTGTGTGTCTGCTTGTGTGCGTGTGTCTGTGTGTGGCTGTGTGTGTGTGTGTCTGTGTGTGGCTGTGTGTGTATGTTTGTGGGTCTGTGCGTGTGCGTTTGCAGACTGACACCTCCGCGTCGCTGCGCACGCGGCCGCAAATCCAACCCTTCGTGGCCCGAAATTCGTGGAGTCGGATGGTCCGTCGCTGCAGTGGTGGTTTCGCTTGAGACTTCGTCACTGCTTACTTGGAAATCGTGCTCTCACCTCAAGGCCGGGTGCATGTTTGGTCTGTGCGGCCACGATCCCTGCTGAACTGAAGGGGCCCCAGGACACACAAATAAATACACACAAACCAAAATATTCTCCATATGTTCCATATGTTTGGGGTTTTTGTCGTCCCCACACTTCCCATATTTTTGTATATTTTCCTGGGCGTCGACGATTTATTGTGTCTGTGTGTTTCTTTCCCTCGTGATGAACAATCTACTAAGGCGCAAGCCTAACAGCTTATCCGCCACCATGCCTCGTGCACGTTGAGGCGTGGAAGAGTGCCCAGGGTTGTCTGGCAGGGCTTGTTTTCTGATACGGGGCCCACACCCACTCTATTACAGTAGGGGCCCTTCCACAGGAAACCTTCCACAAGAAACCCGACTCTGAGACCCAAGGTCGTCCATTGATTTTTGGTGTGGGAACGTCACGCCAAGAAACCCAGGGCACCCTGCAGGCAAGCAGGGTGTTTCTTGGCATGGGCCTCCACTGCATTACTTGTAGCACTCCCTGCAGGCATCGCCCCCCTCTCCCGAGGCTCCCTGGGCCACGGCCCCAGGACAAAAACTATCGATCCGCATCCCGAGTTTATACGACAGCCCAGGCAAGCAACCAAGGCCGCCAAGATGGCCCAATATGCCTCGAAGACGGCCGAATATTGCCGCAAGAAGGCCCAGGTTTTCTTGGAGGGCCACAAGAGGATCCCCGACATGGCCCGAAGAAGCCCGCATGATTGATCTTCCATTGTTGTTTGAATGATCTTCGCAATTTCGCCGACTGGGGCTTCCATCAGCTCAAGATGGCCAAGACGCCTCCCAAGTAGCCTCAATAAGACGAAGCAAGGACGATGGTAAAGTCTGGTAGGGATAAAACGAGAATCTCTGAGAACCGGCGGATCTGGAGGATGTCTCGGGCTCAGAGCGTTCCGGAACGCGAGAGCGTTCCGGAACGCTCTGGGACGGATTTATCCTCGTCCCAGCCCCGCCCGGCTCCAGGGGCCCCCATGAGTCCCCAGGTGGCCGACGAGAAGTCCCTGATGGCCCAAAGGGCCTCCAAGGCGGCTCCAAGCTGGCTGTAGGAGGGCCTCTGCACGGAGCCAGGATGGCCTCAGACGGGCGCCTCGACGGCCGAAAGCGGCTATGGTCCCACGACGGCCACGAGTCGGGGGTTGCTGAAGGTGTCCCTCGTCGCCCACGGTGCCCCCAACTTTTTGCTCCACTTTGGAGCCCCCGGGGCCCCCTGCTTCTCGTGAGGGGTGCTCTGGAGGCCGAGGGAGCCTCCTTGGAAATCCTGGGGGCACCTTGGGCCAGGGGCACTTCTGGCACCATTCGAAGGAGAGCCCCAGACGGCCCAGGGGAGCCCCCAGACGGCCTAGGAGAGCCGCAAGACGGCCCGAGGAGGGCCCCGAGAGGCCCCCAAGACTGCCCCGCGGGAGCCCAGGCCAGCCCCAAGACGGCCCGACTGAGGCCCGTGAGAGCTCCTCTAGGAGCGAAGACGGAAGGTGTCACAAGCGACGCCGATCCTCCTGCTCCTCCTCCTCCTCCTCCTCCTCCTCCTCCTCCTCCTCCTCCTCCTCCTCCTCATGATCATCATCACCACCACCACCATCATCATCATCATCATCATCATCATCATCATCATCATCATCATCATCATCAGTATCATCATCACCACTTTCATCATCATCAGCATCATCAGCATCATCACCATCATATCATCACCATCACCATCACCATCACCATCACCATCACCATCACCATCATCATCATCATCATCATCATCATCATCATCATCATCATCATCATCACCATCACCATCCTCATCCTCATCCTCATCCTCGACATCACCATCACCATCGCCATGATCATGATCATGGTCATGCCCATGATCATCATCACCATCACCGTCACCATGAACATCATCATCATCACCATCATCAGCAACATCATCATAGTAGTCAGCATCATCACCATACGCATCATCATCATGGTCATCATAATCATCATCAGTATCGTCATCATCATTCTCGTCCTCATCCTCGTTCCCCTCCTCGTAATAAACGTCGTCATCGTCATCATCATCATCAGGCTCAGCATCAGCGCCAGCATCAGCATCATCATCAACGCCATTACTACCATCATCGTCATGATCATCATGATCATCATCATCAAGATCATGATCATCATCAATATCATCATCACCATCACCATCATCACTATCACCATCATCATCAACATCATCATCATCGTAATCATCACCGTCATCTCATCATCACCACCACCATCATCTTCACCATCATCAGCATCATCATCATCATCATCATCATGAACATCCTCTTCATTACCATCACCACTCTCCTCCTCCTCCTCGTCCTCCTCATCATCATCACCATCATCATCGTGCTATTCATCTCCATCGCTGGCCCGAATCCTCCTGATCCTTTCCGTATCCTCTTCATTATCTCAGCGTCATCGTCATGATCGTCATCATCGATTCGAACGACTTCCACCTGACTGCTGGACTCGCACGGTGCCGGACTCGCCGCAAACAACTGGCTTCAATAATCGTGCTCTCGCCCCAATGCCGGCTACATGTTTGGTCCGGACGGCCACGGTCCCTGGTGGACAATTCACCAAGGTGCATGTGGCCGAGTTCTCAGCGATGTCCTGGCTGCTCTCGCCCCTGTCCCGCATCTTCACCTTTGCTGCCGTTCGGATCCTTCGCTGCGACAATCTGAGAGGCCCACAGGGGGGCCCGGGGCCGAAAACGGCGGAAAGACCTTCAAGACACGTTCCCCTCAATTCTGTTGCATCTTCGGGGGACACTGACTGTCACGCCGCGCCGCCATCCGCGTCGAATCCACCATGGCGAGCGCGCTGAATCCGTGCCGAATGCCAACGTCGCATCGCAACGCCGTGTCCACGCAAATTCCACGCTGGCTCCGCGCCGCGAATATCGGAAGAGACCGCCCCTTACGGGACCGGCGGGGTCCCCCTGAGAGATGCAGCGTGACCTCAGGAGCCCTCTGCTGCCTGGCTCGGGGCTGTCCAAGCGAGGGGCGGCCAGGAGGGGGGTCCGCAGATCATGGCCCGAGGCACGTGCGCGGCCCCTGGGGGGGGGCCAAGGGACGCATTGAGAGGAGAAGAAGGGCCATGAAGTCTAGGGAGATGTCATGGCACCTGGCATGATTCTCCCCCCCCTGTTGGTGGCGCGCGCAAGGAGGCAGAGGGAGGGGGCAAGGCTTCTTGGGAGGCGGCTTCTTAGACGGCGCGGGCCCTACATCCATAGATAAGGCCCGCGCCTTTTAAGCCTGCCCCCTCCCTCCTACCCCCGTCTGCGTGTGCCCCCCCCCCCCACCCCTAGCATGATATCCACCCCCTATAAGACGAATCCAAGACGAGGACAAACTCAGGTCTGCATAAGTCGAGAATCTACGAGGTCCTGCAGCCATGGAGGATGTATCGGGCGTCGCGGCCTTCTGAGGCTCCGGAACGGATTTAGTCTCGTCCTAGCCCCCCCGTCCGACCCCCCTAATGATCACCATCCTTTGCCATCGCTCGGACGTCCATTCCCCGCGCAGTTTTGGGCCTCGTGCGCCATTTTTTCGCAGGGTGATCCAAGATGCTCCTCGATGGCCCTCGCCGAGAAAAGAGGCGCACGTCCGAGCAGTGCCACGCCTCTTGGCCGCCCCCCGAGTGGCACTGCACTGAGGAGGTGGCGGTGGCGCGGCGTGGTCAGATACGAGACCGATGTTGCATCACAGCAGCAGTTCGGCCTCTGACTTTCGTCCTGGGCTCGGTTTAGTGAAGGGATGAACTTCGGGGTCCTTGCGTGGGAAAAAACACCACTTCACTGATCTGGGGCCCCTGGGGCCTCAGTGGGCCCTGGAGCCCCAAATTGGTGACGTAATGGTTTTCGGGCTCCGGAGATCAGAGAGGCGCGCGGCGGCCCTCGGCAGCGCTCGGGCGGGGGGGGGGCCGGCGGCCTGAGGTGGAGGCCTGCGCCGCGAGGGGGACGTGGAGGCCCAGGATCGGGTTCCGCGTGTTGGCCTCGGCTCGCCGGGGCCCAGGGAGCCGAGCCCCGAGATCCTTCGGAGGAGGAGGAGGAGGAGGAGGAGGAGGAGGAGGACTTTTGTGTGTGTGTGTACTCTAAAAAGCGGGGAGACGTAAGACTCGCGTGCGGGGGACTCGGGCTGGCCTGACAAGGCCAGCATAAAAATGACGAGACCCAATCTGAAATCTGACGCGAACTCCCGCTGCAAGCATCCCACGAAAACTGGACCGTCAAAATCCGGGACGCGCTCGCCAAAAAAAGTGGGCAACCCCCAGTTCTGGCGTACCCGAGTCTTACGCTTCCCCGATAAAAGGTACATACAAATACACGTGTGTGTGTGTGTGTGTGTATGTTTCTTTGAAACTCGCTTGTGTTAGATTTCTCAGCCAGTGTTTGCACTGAAAGGGTCCTCGCGGAGGGTGGAAAATTCGGCGAAAATCCTGGGCCGACTTCGGTGGGCGGCTGGGCTCCCAGATTCCCAAATTCCTGGCTCCGGGTCCCGGGATTCCTGGTTCCGGGCCGATTTCCGTGGGCGGCTGGGTCGTTTCCTGGGTTACCGGCTCCTGGTTCCAAAGTTCGCGGCAATATGCGGTCGGCTGGGTTCGCGGGCTCCCAGTTCTGCGGTTCTTGGCAGTCTAAGGCTGGCTGGGCTCCAGGTTCCCAAGTTCCTGGGCTCCGCGCCCCCGATTCCAAAGCTCCTCGCGATGTAAGGTTTACTGGGTTTCCAACTTCCCGGTTCCCGTTTCTGGATTCCTGGCAGCGTAAGCCAACTGCTTGGGTCGTTTACCCGGACAAGTGTACAGGTGTCAGTGAATTGCTAGCAGAACTGATCAGAGGAGTTGGAGAGAAGGGAAAGAGAGAGAGAGAGAAAGCGAGGGAGAGAGAGGAAGAAGCAACAACATGAGATATGCGCACGCAACATTTGGATACATATATACGTGTGTAGCGGGACATCGGCCTGACAAGTGCAGAGGGAGGTGCGAGGGCGTATAAAGTAAACCCAAATTCGATACATCTAATGATATACAACAGCAGAGAGGATTATATAATGAGACAGAGATATAGAGAGATAGAGAGATAGAGAGAGAGAGAGAGAGAGAGCAAGAGAGAGAGAGAGAGAGAGCTGAGAGAGCTGGCGTGGAGTGCGTGCGAAAAATTCGAAGAATCTACAAAGCGGAATTACAGCTATACAGTATGAACATGCGTGCCCGCGGGACCAACATCTCAATGTCGATGATGTTCGCAGGGGCAAGAGGCGGGGAAGGCCAAGGTTTGGGGCCCCATCTGGAGCCCCAGGACTGGCCGAAATTGGCATGTTTCCCCCAATGCCGAACGGTGCATGTCAACTCGATCGTGATCAACCGGAATGTTGGCCAACGCCCAGATAATCACACGTTTGATCCGCCGGCCCCCGATTGCACGGGATGAAAAGGCGTGTGGGATGATTGGCTGTCCCCCCTCCCCCTTTCACTTCCCCCCCGAGGTCCAACATCAGGTCAGAAGGGGTCCTTTCAGAAGGGGGTCCTAAAGGGAGCCCACGAGCTAGTCAGCCCACCTCTGCGGCTCTCGGAGCCTTCGAATCTACCCTCAGTGACCGCGAAGATGCCCCAAATGCCTTGGAATCTTGTTCCAGAAGGGCTCGGAACAAGGGGGGCCCAGAGACGGCAACGACAAGCCCACTCCTCCGCCTTCTCCTCCTCCTCCTCCTCCTCGCTCTCCTTCCCTCCCCTCTCCCCCTTGTCGGTGGTACTCCTCTGGAACCACGGGAGTTCTCTCACGCGAAGTAGGGAACCAAAACCATATGAAATGGGAACAGTCTGTGAACCAGAGAGATCCGCTCGCAATTTTGATTGGGTCAAGGGCCCCTCGGTATCTGATCAACAACAGCGTCGGTACGAGCTCACGTGTGCGGCAGCACACGTACATAACCATCACAAATTCACACTGCACTGCGTTACTGCAGAAAACAAAAAAATGATCTGTGCAATTAAATTGGCAAGCTTCCTGCGCCATTGACACAGGGGGTGGACAAAGGGGAACATATTCGCCCCCCTCGCAAAACGTATGCAAGTGCTCGCAGCCTCGCCGTCATCTCGCACCTGGAGGGGAAACCTTCCGTCCTCAATCTTTTCATTAGCTCAAGCCTCGGACTCGGCGCTCAGAGCCACCGTCTGTTCGAACTCCCTCAGGAACTGACGCCTCGGCGTCGTCAGGGCACGCCTGTGCGTGCGCTGGCTCTGGGTGTTGGCCGTCCGCCTGAGCTTCTTGGTCTCGGTCGCTCTCTCGTCATTCAATCTCGGCTCCGGGGTGGCTGCTTCAACTCTTTGCTCTGCCAGCGTGCGCGCATCTCGTCGATGTACACGAACCTTGTCCATCAGCTTCTGTTCCGCCGTGTAGTTCAGCCAACACGTGACCACTGGCGCGCATCCACAGCATGCCAGAATTGCCAGGAACAACGCACACATCGAGAATAACACTTACGGAAACTCCGGCTCGACCGTCTCGATCTTCTCGCCTGTAGCAGTTTGCGTGGCCGCCACCGCCACGATCTGCGCCATTCCTTTTCCCGTGCGTGTTCCACCTATCGTTGCGCGGACCTGGTCTCTCAGCCTGTCCTCGTGCTCGTTGCAGTTCTCGGTCTCCGCGTCCTCTGCCTTGTTCGCCTCGTCGATATCAGCCGCCACCTCGTCCAGTTCTTTCTCGGCTTGAGCTCGTTCCTTCTGGGTGATCTTTTTGTCTGCCGTGGACGTCGCATATGTAAGCGCGCGCGTCATTATCCTCGGCTTCTCCGCGAACTGCTGGCGCGCCCACAACTTCGTCAGTCCGTCTGCCATATGCTGGCGCGTGCTGGTCCACCGCCAAGCTCCCCCGAACTCGCGCATCTTCCCATTGACAGTCCTGCGCTCCGTCAGACCACCGCGGCCGCCTGAGAGTTCGCTGCGTCGAACAACGCCTTGCAGTCCGTGATGCGCGGGCTTCGCCCCAGCACCTGCAACATCTCCGCGCCTGTCAGCTGCAGCGTGGGAAACGACATCCTCGTCAACATCGTTTTCGCGAGCTCCAGCGCGCCCGCCGCGTCGGCTGCACTCTGGGCCTCTCCTGCCAGGGAGCTCCGGCAAATCCTCGCCAGATTCTTGCTCGCCCAGCCGACAATGACCAACTGCGTCGGCTGCCCGTCGTCGACCCCGGCGTCCACGATCACAAATGTCACGCAGCAGCCCTGCGACCCACCTTTCGGCCTCGTAGCCCAGGACGCGTCCCAGTATACTACAAGCCGCAGCTTGCTCCATGTCCCCACGTACTTGATGCGGGCGCCGGCGTCTCCACTCGCCTTCAGGAACATCAGCGACTGGTTGGCCTCCAGTAGGCTGCCCTCCGTCGCCTTGTTGACGTCGCCCCGCGCGAGCAAAACCGCCGCCGCCGCCTGCGCCATGCGCTGAGAAGCCGGCCACTGCATGGTCCCGCTCAGCCCTCTCAGCTGGCTGATCTCCTTTGGTGTGCACGGGTGGTCGGGGTGCATCCTCTGCGTCTTCTCGATGCTGATCGGCATGGCTTTGTGGATGTTGGCCTCGGCCATCACGTCGATCGTCTCGCGAGAAAGACTCGGTGTTCTCCATGCCACGGGAGATGGTGCCGTTCGACAGCTCCCACTTGCCGAACTTGAACCTCTGGTTAAACCTCTGCGCCCGATCCAGGAAGGTGCCCTCGTGCGCCTGCTTGTTGGCGAGGTCCTCCTCGCGCTTGAAGTTGTCGCCGCCGCCGATGAAATCGTCCACGTGGGGCCCCAGTGCGCGGTCCAACGCGTAGTGTTGATTTTTGTCCGCCTCCCAGACCAGGAACGGATCGTCTCCGTCGAGCGCCGAGCGGTGCGACTGGAAACAGCACCTGTCCAGCGCGCTGCAGGAAACCTGTCTCGAGCATGGACTCCGTAATCGTCAGATTCCTCTGACGCGGGGCTCGCGCATAACCGCATGCGGGTTTCAACGGCTGCGATATCTCGTCGTCCTGCAGGCCCATCATCTTTGGCGGCCGGCGTCGCGCGTCCGTCGTCGGTCTGCTGAAAATCCGAACTCCTTGTTCCCTGATGTCCTTCGCCTGCAGGAATGTGCACTTGACGTCCGCGGCCACCATCTTCCAATACTGCTGGCACATGATGAGCAGGGTGAGGTACTGCGTCGAGCGCGTGAGGGCGGGGCTTGCCTTTTCCGCGTTGGCGCCCGTCACCTCCTCCAGGTGAAATCCTTGTAGGATCGCCCGCGCGCTCGCCTCTTTCGCGCCATCCTTCCTCTTCCCCTTCGGCAGGGACCGCATAGGGTGGGCCTCTCCAGCATCCGCCGCGTGCTCCTTCACTGCCTGCCATGCTCGATTCTCGATCCAGGGTAGCAGCGCCGTGTTCTGCGCCTCATCGAGCTGCCTCCGCTCGTCCACGCTGAGCTTGGCCTCCGCCGCCGAATCCTTCCTCGCCACGATGGCCAGGTGAGCGTGTTGGCGCTCTCGTAAAGTGGCAGCAGCTCGTCGCTGTCGCTGTCGCTCGCAGCGGATCCAGGCGTGGGGGCTCCGACGCCTTAGGGGCCTGCATCTCTGCCGTCTCGGTATCGCCCTGGCCGCCAATGACATTCTGCTCGGCCTCGTGGTGCTCCACCTGCCGCTCGACCTCGGCCTCGTCCACCTGGCCGTCCGTGTCGACGCCCTGCTGGTCCATCTCCATGGGAATGTGCTCGTCTTTTGCGTCGTCGGGGCGTCCGATGACTTCGCCGCGTGATCCGCGAACTTCTTGGACCCGCTGATTGTTCTTCAGTTTTCGTAGCGCTCGCTCGGCCGCCGACAGCCGTAGTCCATGGTCTTCGTCTTCTTCCTCTCTCTGCCGTTGCTCTTCTGGTAGCTCGGGTCGTAGCAACTCGTGCGTCGTCTGCGCGGGCGTGCTGCCGTGCGCGCGCGCCGGCGCAGACCGAGCCCGTCGGGGTCGTCCGTGCATTCGACCTGCGCGATCATCGCA